CTGCTCGGCCCCGGGCTGCTCGGGCGCCTCCGGATCGCCCGGGATGGACGCGGAGCTCAGGGAATCAGGGCTGCTCCAGGAGCCTGGAAAAGAAGGAAACCCTTTGGATCCCAACTTCCATCCGGGATCAATCCCAAACCGCAGTGCTGCCAAAGCTGGGGAACAGGGATAACGATCTGGAGGATTTTGGGATTAGCTCCGGTCCCTGGTGGCATTCCAAGGGTTGGGATCAACAGGGATCCGGCATCGCCATGGGTCATGCTTTGCCAAGCAGCATCCCTGGAAATCATGGAATCCTAGAATTCTAGAATGGATGGGAATGACCCCAAACCCCATCCCATTCCATGGGCAGGGACACTTCCCCTATCCCAAATTGCTCCAAGCCCCATCCAAACTTTCCTTGGCCATTCCCAGAATGCGGCTCAGCCTTTCAGGTCATTCCCATTCCCAAATCCAAACGATCCCTGCTCCTGGCACTGCTCTATCCCAAACATCCCATCAGCTTCCCAGGATGCACAACAGGGAATTTTGCTGGAGCATGGCTCTTCCCAAGCTTTTGGCGCAGGAGGATATTTCCATAAATGTTCCCCAAATTTTTCCATCATTATTTTGCATAATTTGTTGGGATTTTCACAGCGGGAGTTGCTGGGAGAAACCACCACTTCCAGAGGGGAAAATTCCCAGCTGGAATTCCCCCAGGATGGGGCTGATCTCCATGGAATTCCATTTCCTTGAGGGGAAAAATATTCCAGGATTTTTCCTAACTTGAGGGGGTTTTAGGGAAGTCAGAGAGGGGGGAAAGTCACTTTTCCCACTGGAATGAGCAGGACTGAGCTGGGGTTCATCCGTGAGAATTCATTCCTGGATCCATAGGGACGATGGACACACATCCTTGGATTTTAGATGAGCTTGGAAAAGATGAGGTTGGAAAAGCTTTGGATACAGGGATGTGGCTGCCACCATTCCCAGCATTCCCACATTTCCCATCCAACCGCATCTCCCACAGCCAGACCCCAATCTCGGCTCACGTCTCAGTTTATTTATCCCAACTTATCTCGTTTTATCCCAATTTTTCCGCTCTCCAACAACACCTTGAGCACTCCAGCCTTTCCCCGGCATGGCCTTTCTGCTCCCGGAGCTTTTCCCAGCCCTATTCCAGCCGGAGATCCGTGGCTGGAGCCCGTGCCAGCGGCTCTGCCATGAACAAAGGAGCGCGGGATTTCTGGGAGCGGCCTTGGCACGGCTCCGGCAGCGCCGGAATCCCGGGATTTGGGGGGCACCGGAGCAGCTGCCTCCCTCCATCCGGAGATGGTTTTCCCCCCCAGCTGCCGGATTTAGGGAATGACTCGGGAGATAGGAATCCGGGATGAATGGAGCTATTCATGGTTTGATAAAATTCCATGGAAAAGAGCGGGAAGGGGGTTGGGAACGAGCCTGCCCGGCCGGGTGTGAGTTACGGATGCCGGCGATGCCGCCAGGCCCCGCTAACGACCCCAATTAATTCCTTTGAATCCCAATTAATTGCACGGAATCCAAATTAATTGCACGGAATCCCAATTAAAACTCATTAAAAAGCCGAGGGCTGGAGTTGCCTTGGATGAGGGGAATTTGTCTTGGAGCAGGGATTTTTCCTTTCCCAGATTTCAATGACTCCTTATCCCTATTCCCAACCTACAGCAATCCCAAAGTTTGGTGACCCCACCTGGGCTTTTCCCAGGTTTTATGGAGAATTTGGGAATGAGGGAAAGGAAAGGAAAGGAAAGGAAAGGAAAGGAAAGGAAAGGAAAGGAAAGGAAAGGAAAGGAAAGGAAAGGAAAGGAAAGGAAAGGAA